CTTTTATATCTCCATATAGTGGTAGGTACTTAATATAAAATCTTTACAGTACAGTGGACCCTCCCTTTTTGTGATTAATCCGTTCCAGAGAGTCTGACGAAATGTGAAATTTACGAAAACTGAAACCATTTTCCCCATAAGAAATAATGTAAATCCAATTAATCTGTTTCAGACACCCAAAAGTATAAATAAAAAATATATTTTGTAGAGAATAACTATATTTGATGGCTTATTTATCACAATTCATCTTATATGACATAATAAACAATATTAATAACATAGAAACATGTACTATAGAATGAATAAAACATGTCATTATGTGTGTGAGGAGTATATGGTGGTGGTGGTGTTGGGTTTATAAGGGCCACTGAGAGCATAAGTGGTAGTGAAGGCAGCAGCAGAAGCCACCAACACTATTCACACAAACATTGCACGTAATTTATAAATAAGAAATATTTACACTTACTGTACCTTGGAGATGCTGGCACTGGTTTAGGGTGGTGGATGATAGGCAGGGTGGCGTATGTTTGTCAGTGGCCCTATATACCTCCATTAATATTAGAGGAGTTAGTTTCATGTCCTTTTTCTGTCGCTTAATCGCTTAACTTATTTGCTACACTGTTAATGCTACACTTTATCGCTGGCTGGGGCTATAGCCTTCATCGACTCCTGCTGCTTTAGTATCATACATATTGTAGAATCTGAATCACCAAAGAAGGCACATTCTCCTCTCTCTTCTTCCTCCACTTTGGTGCTTTGCTATGAGTTTTTTCTTGAATTCTATCGTGTTTCTCTCCTTCTTTATCAATGGGTTGGCACTAGCAGCTTTCTTTGTGCCCATGGTGGCTTATTTAGCAGTCATACAGAATAACCAAGTGCACAAAACAATGAATTATTATGAAATGTTTCCTATGACCTCGCAGGATAATGTTCGCTCACCGAGAAACAAAGCAACACTGCCTCAGAATGCATGTGTGGGAGGCTTTGTGTGTGTGCAGCACTCGGACAGGTACCATACCACCGCCGAGAACAGAGGAAAGAAACGAAAACAGAGCCAATATTTTTACGAAAAAAGTCAGTGATAATTGAAATTCACGAAAACAGATCCCAGTGAAAAGGGAGGGTCCACTGTATTTCATTCATGTGTACTTTATCAAGTACCAAACTCATCCAGGGCTAGTGGTCAGGTGTAAATATGTCGAGTTGTTGAGGAGCATCGCAACAAGTCTTGGCCTACACTTGGTTTCCTTTGTTTCAAGATGTGTATTTTGAGTTTTTCCAGTATGAGCTTATTGGCCTGAGACTATGCTTTCTGTTGACTGCCTATTTACCCAGGGTGGTGGTATTAGAAGCCTGCTGGCCCACATAATCATAATGGTCTGGTTGATCTGCCACTTCATAGAGGTAGTTGTCTCCTTTTAAAAGACCAATACATTTGTTCTGGCAGTGCTGCACTTCCAGTATTTACTGGTAATGGGTTGAATAGTCTTGGACCACAGATGTTGAGTGTTTTAGTGTGCTAATAGTACCTCTGCTTTTCACTGTGTGTATTTTACTCTCCCTCCCAACTCTCATGCCAGTACATTGTTATGGTAGTGTGTAGATTTGGGACTAATCCCTCAAATGTCTTCTCTGTATATCCTATCATATGATGAAATTAAGACACATGTGCAACATCTGGGTATCTTTATTATAGATGTTTCGCCATCCAGTGGCTTTGTCAATACAAATTCCAGGACATAACTTTAAGATGGAAGAACTATGTACAGAAGGTGAGGTAATCAGTCCCTCAACCTAGGAGTAGGTGCGAAGAGCACCGTAGTCGTGGAGAATCTCTACGACTACAGTGCTCTTCGCACCTACTCCTAGGTTGAGGAACTGATTACCTCACCTTCTGTACATAGTTCTACCATCTTTATGTCCTGGAATTTGTATTGATAAAGCCACTGGATGGCGAAACATCTACAATAAAGATACCCAGATGTTGCACATGTTTCTTAATTTCATCTTGTCGGTATTGTATACCATTCTTGTACATCCTATCATATACATGTTTATCTATTTGTCACACCAGAGAGTACATTTCCAAGTACAGCAGGGCCCCGCTTTATGGCACTTCGCCTTACAGCATTCTACCAATATGGACATTTCAAATTATGACCAAAACACACTATATGGATCCCCCCACCTGACTTTCTAATATGGTCACTGCAGGCCACCCAGTTTGTTTACATTTTCTGTGAGCTCTGTGAACACTGTCTCTCTCCATTATGTCTGGAAACTTTCCAAAATTTCAAGTGTTTTAAAGTTATTTCATGTTTTATATATATATATATATATTCTGATAATTGTACTTATCTGTACCTGTACCTAAATAAACACACACTGTGCTGGCACGCAGGTACACATTAAAATCACTAAGAGTGTCCTATTAGTCTTGAAGATGCCATATTAATAATAATAATAATAATAATACACAATGATAATCATTCTGAGGCGCATTAAATGTCGTATATTACGTTAATATAAACATTTTCATTAATCAATCTATGGTTTGTATTTCAAAATTACAGTGGACCCCCGGTTAACGATATTTTTTTACTCCAGAAGTATGTTCAGGTGCCAGTACTGACCGAATTTGTTCCCATAAGGAATATTGTGAAGTAGATTAGTCCATTTCAGACCCCCAAACATACACGTACAAACGCACTTACATAAATACACTTACATAATTGGTCGCATTCGGAGGTGATCGTTATGCGGGGGTCCACTGTATATAATAAACACACTATGTAACATATAAACATGATAAATATACCCCTCAATAAACATGATAAATACACCCCTCAGTAGAATATATTAACATAAATATGAGATGTTAGGTATAAATGAACACACAACCATAACCAGACATGTTCGTCTGTCTGTTTACATCCTCCATGTGTCTCTCCTCTTTCATTTACTCATTCTCTCTGTCTCTGTCTCTCTCTCTCTCTCTCTCTCTCTCTCTCTCTCTCTCTCTCTCTCTCTCTCTCTCTGTCTCTCTCTCTCTCTGTCTCTCTCTCTCTCTGTCTCTCTCTCTCTCTGTCTCTCTCTCTCTCTGTCTCTCTCTCTCTCTGTCTCTCTCTCTCTCTGTCTCTCTCTCTCTGTCTCTCTCTCTCTGTCTCTCTCTCTCTGTCTCTCTCTCTCTGTCTCTCTCTCTCTGTCTCTCTCTCTCTGTCTCTCTCTCTGTCTCTCTCTCTGTCTCTCTCTCTCTGTCTCTCTCTCTCTCTGCTTCTCTCTCTGTCTCTCTGTCTGTCTCTCTCTCTCTCTCTCTCTCTCTCTCTCTCTCTCTCTCTCTTCTCTCTCTCTCTCTGTCTCTCTCTGTCTCTCTCTCTCTCTTCTCTCTCTCTCTCTCTCTCTCTCTCTCTCTCTCTCTCTCTCTCTCTTGTCTCTCTCTCTGTCTCTCTCTCTGTCTCTCTGTCTCTCTCTCTGTCTCTCTCTCTCTCTCTCTCTCTCTCTCTCTCTCTCTCTCTCTCTCTCTCTCTCTCTCTCTCTCTCTCTCTTCTCTCTCTCTGTCTGTCTCTCTCTCTCTCTCTCTCTCTGTCTCTCTCTCTCTCTCTCTGTCTCTCTCTCTCTCTCTCTCTCTCTCTCTGTCTCTCTCTCTGTCTCTCTCTCTGTCTCTCTCTCTCTGTCCCCTCTCTCTCTCTCTCTCTCTCTCTCTCTCTCTCTCTCTCTCTCTCTCTCTCTCTCTCTCTCTCTCTCCTCTCTCTCTTCTCTCTCTGTCTCTCTGTCTGTCTCTCTTCTCTCTCTCTCTCTCTCTCTCTCTCTCTCTCTCTCTCTCTCTCTCTCTCTCTCCCCTCTCTCTCTCTCTCTTCTCTCTCTCTCTCTCTCTTCTGTCTGTCTCTCTGTCTTTCTCTCTTTCTCTCTCTCTCTCATTTATTTGTTTTACCTCATTTACTCACCTCTCCCCCTATAGTAAGATTACAGATATTTTAAGGTAAGCAATGAGTGTACTGTATATGCATTTTATCGCTCTGGGGAGCTTTAAATGTTGTAGTAAATTACTTATGGGTGGGGTGGCCTGGCTGGCTACAGTACCTCCCACACCTGACTTATTACAATAAATACTACTCACCTCTCACCCTACATTAAGACTACAAATATTTTAAGGTAAATAATGAGTGTACTGTGTGTGTATTTTATTTTTTATTGTTTTTAATGTCTAGTTCTATTGCTGACTTAATGTATGTTAGTGTAAATTTTGTTATCTGGCATTTATATGCATTTATAAGTGGAAAAAATGACATTTTGCTTTCTGGCGATCTCCGCTTTCCGGCGGTAGCCTGGAACTTTAACCTGCCATATAAGTGGGGCCCTACTGTACTTTGAGGCATTCTCAGTTTAAATGGTTTTTTGGGTCTGTGTAGTCAGTAAACCAACTGTACCTTTTCCATACATTTCTCTTTATTTTTCCTCTACTGTCTTTTTTCTTGCTTTTCTTTTCTCACTTCTCTTTTCTCTCTTTTCTCTCATTTCACTATATTATACATTCAGTGGAGCAACATAGATATGGCAAATGTTGAACCATGTGTTACATATTAATTAAGATTACTGCCACTGTACTGTGTTTTCTCTGCACTAAACTTCAACTTTGAATAGTTTCTGTTATGTTAATTTATTTTTACAATGGCATATCATGGGGAAGTGGAACAGTTCTTCCTCCATAAGCCATGTGTGTCATAAGAGGTGGCTAAAGTGCCAAGAACAGGGCTAGTAACCCCTTTTCCTGTATAAATTACTAGATTTAAAAAGAGAAACTTTCGTTTTTCTTTTTGGGCCACCCTGCCTCTGTGGGATATGGCTGGTTTGTTGAAAGAAGAATCTTTGTAATTGTTAAAGTGCCTGCTGTTTACCTTAAACTTTCTTTGAGATGGTTTTTCATTTTTTTTTATGTAAAGTCATAAGCCATGAGCAATCACTAAACCTGCATAACTCTGTAAATATTTCTCAACTTTCAGAATGCTAATTTGTTGTCTGCTGTGCTGTGTTTGGTAAAGGAACTTGACTACACCAGTCTAGAAGTTGTGGAGATGGCTGTGAGATGTCGTATGGAGGAATTAGATGATTAAAACTAATGAGTGCCAAGATCCTTGTCTTCTTTGGTTAATTAGTTATGGGTATGTATTTTGTGATGAGTAGTCATTTGCTAAAAACGATTCTTGAATGGCTCTGTTTCAACCTTCAGTGTAAACTTACAATTATATTAAAATAGATGTTATCTGTTACTCCATAACATATATGACATAATGAATTATTTTTTTTTTATTTTTTTTTGCATTCAAAATTTTCAAAAGCATGAGTTTTTGTATTCTGTAAATTTTTTTATGCCTCATACATTGATTCATACAGATTTAAAGTGAGGTATTTTTGTTGTGTACAAAGAGGTTATTTTACATTAAATTTGATGTGAAAATAATGCAGTACACACTTAATCCAATAAGAAATGTCACCAGAACTGTTTGTATTTGTGATCTGAGCAAAATAACTGAATAAATTTTTGAGACAGTTTTCAAGTTGGACATTTCCAAAATTTTAGGCTATCACTGAGCTGGAATGATAGATTCCCATCATTCTGGCTTTTTAAATAATTTGGAGATTAATATTTTAATGATTCTCTTAAAGCTTTAATATTACATTGCTTATTACCAGTAACCTCTCAACTTAATTTTAACCTATGTAGCTAGTTGTATGTAAATTAAGTATCCTATTTTAGTATTGAAGCTAACAGTACAACAATCACTAGATAATTAAGTTCTTGATTTTATAGGATTCTGTGTTCACAATTGTATGTTGAGATTCTTCTTATTTGTGCCAAAATTTATTTGTTAAAATATGGCATGTAATGTTCTCCTTAATTGATATTGGTTAAGCACTTGTATATGATACACAAGGAATATTTGTGATAAACTTGAATACAATTCATGTGTAGAGATTTTTGTATGCAAGTGGAAACGTATTTGTGTTCACAAATCCTTATTGCATAAAGGTTTTGAGATTTGTTCTGTTGTTGTATTGTAAAGATAATTTTTACCATTTTTTAAGAAGTTTACCATGAAAATTTAATGTTTTTTAAGGTATGAAGTGATCTGTTGATAAACACCTAGAACTTTAAAGGAATATATGTACATTATGTGAGTTATTAAATAGCTTCAGTTCCTGTCTTCATTATTTCATAATATGGAAAGTAATAAATAATAACTAAATTAGAATAATCAGAATTTATTATCATTGTTAATGTATTTGAAATCTATATCAGATTGCCTTGGCTGCTGTGTAGTAGATTTACCATCATGTTATTTAAGTTTGTTTCAGGCTATTTGGTCTGATCATTACTTCAACATTGAAATTACTGTGCCTTAGCAATTAAAATTCTAAAGTCATGGCATCATATAGAATACTAGCTTGTTCTGCCAAACTTCTCCAATGGGCATTCTGTGCTAGAACATTGGCAGTTGCAATTAAAAATGTCTTGGGCACAGTATGCCATGTAGCCGAATTGACTATGTACAGTGTGCTAAATTATAAGTCCATATCATATACAATGTACAATTTCCAGGCAGATATATTTCCAGATGTTCATTTCTCTGCAGAAATTAGTATTTAAGCAAACTACAGTACACTAAAATGCTGATGTTTTGTACAATAGTTTATTATTATAATTATTTAATTTACAAATAGATCTGATAAATTAAAATGCAGTAAGTTTATGTTGTATGTGGTTAATGTACTTAGGGTATCTAATGAAGTTAAGTTACATGATGACAACCACTAGCAGCAGTTAATGGATTAAGTTTTGTTTTTAGTACCTCATAATCCAGTTAAGATCCTTTCACAGTTGTGAGTTATTTTCAAGACCAAACAAAAACTAATATTTAGCTGAGTGAAATACTATACTGTAATTGTAAGATACCGGAGAAGATAGTGAAATACTGATATGCTTATGTTCCAGAGGACCTTGAAATTGCCACATCTGCAAAAATTTCACAGCCATTAGATACAAAATAATGTTTGGCTTCAAAATAGATTTATACATTAACATATGAATGATAAAATATACTTGTGTGGAATTGCCATTTGTACATTGCAATATTATATGTTGCACTAAATTTGTTCATATATATTTTGACTAGTGCACTACTCTAGTGTGATGGACTATTTTTGCAAGATATGTAGGAATATGTTGGGGATCCTTGGCTGATGCAGATACCAGTGTTACAGATGTGAAAGTTTTTATTGTATTTCTCTACCCATAAAGAAAATAGTTTAGGTTAAATTTTTGGTGCTGGACAGTATTCATAGGGTTGTTTTTTATTTAAGACTTTTTTAAAACCAAGATCCTGCAATGTATGGAAGCCCTCGATAGAGCTGGCCTTAATTTGTTTTGCTGGCTGGAAACCATTCTGCATATTAGAGAATGGTGTAATAGTTATTTATGGTCCACTAGTTGTTTTAAGTAATCTCTTACTCATAGTTTATATAAGTTCTTTGTTGGAAAGTTTTTATTTAGAACAGTGACATTGACAAGAGTTCAAATAAATCAAGGCCAGCAAAATTAAAATAGCTCATCCTTGTTAAAAAAAAAAAAAAAATTGGTTGTACCATATTACCAAAGTGATCAAGTATTGATGATTAATTGTAAGAGGTATTTTTATATTTAGTGTTTTGTTTTATTACTGTATTGTGTTTTATAAAATTAGAAGTTCTTAACTCTGCTGGTTTTTAAATACATATACATGTACTCCTCGATGTTCTGGTTGTATATACAGTTATAATTATGTAGTGTACACAAGTATGCTGTCCACCATTACTCTTCCACTTTCAGATTTCAGTGCAGTGCTCCTATGACTATTTGTTAGAGAGTAATACTATTACATAACTTTGAAAAAAAAATCCTTATTTTTTTTTTCCAACAAGTCGGCCGTCTCCCACCTAGGCAGGGTGACCGAAAAAGAAAGAAAATCCCCAAAAAGAAAATACTTTCATCATTCAACACTTTCACCTCACTCATACATTATCACTGTTTTTGCAGAGGAGCCCTGATACAAACAGTTTAGAAGCATAGATAAAGATATAACATATCCCTCCAAACTACCAGTATCCCAAACCCCTCCTTGAAAGTGCAGGCATTGTACTTCCCATTTCCAGTACTCAAGTCCGACTCTATAAGAATACTTAATCGGTTTTCCTGAATCCCTTCACAAAATATTACCCTGCGCACACTCCAACAGCTTGTCAGGTCCCAAAAACCATTTGTCTCCATTCACGCCTATCTAACACGCTCACGCACGCTTGCTGGAAGTCCAAGCCCCTTGCTCACAAAACCTCCTTTACCCTTTCCCTCCAACCTTTTCGAGGACAACCTCTACCCGCCTTCCTTCCCCTACAGATTTATACGCTCTCCATGTCATTCTACTTTGGTCCATTCTCTCTAAATAACCAAACCACCTCAACAACCCCTCTTCAGCCCTCTGACTAGTACTTTTATTAACTCCACACCTTCTCCTAATTTCCACACTCCGAATTTTCTGCATAATATTTACACCACACTTTGCCCTTAGACAGGACATCTCCTCTACCTCCAGCCACCTTGCTGCAGAATTTACAACCCAAGCTTCACACTCATATAAGAGTGTTGGTACTACTATACTTTCATACATTCCCTTCTTTGCCTCCATAGATAACATGCATGGCTTACGGAGGAAGAATTCTGTTCCACTTCCCCATGGAGATAAGAGGAAATAAACAAGAACAAGAACTAGAAAGAAAATAGAAAACCCAGAGGGGTGTGTGTATATGTATGCTCAGGTTAGGGTGTGTAGAAGAGAGGGAGACCACTACCCGGTAAAAGTAGGTCTTAGACAGGGATGTGTATTGTCACCATGGTTGTTTAATATATTTATAGTTGGGGTTGTAAAAGAAGTAAATGCTAGGGTGTTTGGGAGAGGGGTGGGATTAAATTATGGGGAATCAAATACAAAATGGGAATTGACACAGTTGATTTTTGCTGATGATACTGTGCTTATGGGAGATTCTAAAGCAAAATTGCGAAGGTTAGTGGATGAGTATGGGAGTGTGTGTAAAGGTTGAAAGTGAACATAGAAAAGAGTAAGGTGATGAGGGTATCAAATGATTTAGATAAAGAAAAATTTGATATCAAATTGGGGAGGAGGAGGATGGAAGAAGTGAATGTTTTCAGATACTTGGGAGTTGACGTGTCAGCAGATGGATTTATGAAGGATGAGGTTAATCATAGAATTGATGAGGGAAAAAAGGCGAGTGGTGCGTTGAGGTATATGTGGAGACAAAAAACATTATCTATGGAGGCAAAGAAGGGAATGTATGAAAGTATAGTAGTACCAACACTCTTATATGGGTGTGAAGCTTGGATTGTGAATGCAGCAGCGAGGAGGCAGTTGGAGGCAGTGGAGATGTCCTGTCTAAGGGCAATGTGTGGTGTAAATATTATGCAGAAAATTCGGAGTGTGGAAATTAGGAGACGGTGTGGAGTTAAAAAAAGTATTAGTCAGAGGGCTGAAGAGGGGTTGTTGAGGTGGTTTGGTCATTGAGAGAGAATGGATCAAAGTAGACTGACATGGAGAGCATTTTTAATCTGTAGGGGAAGGAAGGCAGGGTAGGGGTCGTCCTCGAAAATGTTGGAAGGGAGGTTTTGTGGGAGAGGGGCTTGGACTTCCAGCAGGCGTGCGTGAGCGTGTTCAATAGGAGTGAATGGAGACAAATGGTATTTGGGACCTGACGATCTGTTGGAGTGTGAGAAGGGTAATATTTAGTGAAGGGATTCAGGGAAACCGGTTATTTTTATATAACCGGACTTGAGTACTGGAAATGGGAAGTACAATTCCTGCACTCTAAAGGAGGGGTTCGGGATATTGACGGTTTGGAGGGATATGTTGTGTATCTTTATACGTATATGCTGCTAAGCTGTTGTGTTCTGAGCACCTCTGCAAAAACAGTGATTATGTGTGAGTGAGGTGAAAGAGTTGAATGATGATGAAAGTATTTTTTTTTGGGGGGTGGATTTTCTATCTTTTGGGCCACCTGCCTCTGTGGGAGATGGCCAACTTGTTAAAAAAAAAAAAAAAGTATGTGTATTGTGACCTAAGTGTAAGTAGAAGTAGCAAGACGTACCTGAAATCTTGCATGTTTATGAGACAGAAAAAAGGACAACAGCAATCCTACCATCATGTAAAACAATTACAGGCTTTCGTTTTACACTCACTTGGCAGGACTGTAGTGCCTCCCTGGGCGGTTGCTGTCTACCAACCTACTACCTAGGATGATTAACCTCATCCTTCATAAATTCATCCGCTGACACTTCAACTCCCAAATATCTGAAAACATTCACTTCTTCCATACTCCCTCTAAATCATTTGATACCATCATCACCTTACTCTTGTCTGTGTTCACTTTCAACTTCTACCTTTACACACCCTCCCAAACTCGTCCACTAACCTTTGCAACTTTTCTTTAGAATCACCCATAAGCACAGTATTATTGTAATTCACCTAAATTAATAAAATAATTGTGTATTACACATGCAGAGGTCATGTGTTACATTTTTTTATATACTTAAAGTTCTATATAGTATATATCCTAATAGTCAAATGAAGTGAATATTTGCAGGTTGTCCTTCCTGCTCTCACATTGATAGTATGATGATGCTTTCTCTTGAATCGCATGGGACTGTAATTAAATGGGGGACTTTTCATTGTTTACTGCTGACTAGTTATTCAGCATTTTTTCAGTTTCAGCAGGTCACAATTTGAGTTATTCATCACTCAGACTTATCTTCTCATTGTCTCAAATTGAATGAATTGTTGATTCTCTAATACCAAAAACTCAGGTTGCATCCATCAAAAGTGCACCTTAGTTTTCTTCATTAGAGGCAAAGTTTCACACTTAAGATTTCTTGGGACCTCTTAGCAATGCTAGATTTCCTTTTTGCTGCCATTATTGATATCCAGACATGAGACGATGAAAAGCTCAGAAATGGAATGTTAACACAGGCGACAGTAATCGTATGGTACACCTTCACAAGTTTACTGCTGGTGTGGTGGTTGCATGGGTAGGGGGCGGGTGTAAACACCACAGAGTGATGTTAGGTCTACCGTGAAACAAGAGGCCCAAGGTGCATCGGAGGGGAAATATCCTGCCTGTTCTGCTGTGATAGCTGGCTACTTCTGATCAAAATGAAGATAAAGGTAACAAAAAGTGGATCATGAGCTGGCAGATATACAGTACCTGGCAGTGCAATAGGAGGGGGACTCCCTACTGTACTTGGATAAAATAGTAGCAATAGTAGGTTTCTGTCGATAGTATGACTTTAGAATAACTGTAAACTGGAAATGGTTGCAAGTAATTAAAATAAATGGTAGCAACTTTTTGTTAAAAAAATGAATAACCACTCAGTTCCAGACTTCTGCAAATCTTAAAACTTGACTCCTATAGTAAAAGTTGGTATCAGCTTAAGTATGATTAATGAATTAGAAAAAAATGAAAGTTCTTACATACAACTCTTGTATCTTAGTGTTAAGTGATGGAATTTCTAGATGTAGAAATCTATATTTTAGGTGCAAAAGGCTCCTTCTGAAAACAGTGAAATTTTGTTGAAGTTATGCTACATTATTTTAACATTAATTGTTCATCTGTCCAAGACCATCTTGCACTATAGCAGTGGTACTGTTTTTTCACATACATTTGCAGTATCCCTTCCTAAATGGTAATAAGCCTGATCTAAAATTTTTGACTTGTAGAATAGAGAAAATTGAAGCATCTCTAATTACTGATAGTCACTGTTTGATAGTTTATGATACATATTACTTTCTACAAAGGTCTGGAGATTTTATACACTGCATTAGAAATCAGAAATGTATCATAAGTGTTCTTGTATTAGTCTTTATTTTCTTTGAAAACACCCTCGGCATAATGCTCCATTTTCTGTTATTTTTTTAATTCTAGTAAAAAAAAAATGTACACTATTAACTTCAATAATAAGCATCTGCCAAATTACACGTGCCCAGAATATCTTGGCATGCTTTGTAAAATTTACAAACATCAACAAGGTCAAGCCCAAACCATGAAAATGTTCTTATAATACCCATTCTTTATAGGCATTCCCTGTATTACATTAACCCTTTACAACTACATAATATTCAATATTGCAGCAGGTTCCATGGGTCCATATTCGTTACAAGCAATTTAGGAAAAGCATTTATCTTGTTCTTGCTTTACTGGTTATGTGCAACCTTTTATGATTAGAAGCAGCTGTTACATGGAATATCTACTGCATTGTACTATTCATCTCAATACCAGAGTTATAGAAGCCTTAATCTGGTAGGTAATCTCGTCAGTCTTGGCAAGGACTGACTCATGAAATCGTAATAACACAGTTACAAACAAACCATGGAACTGGTGGGGTTTGAGCCCTCGACAAGTAAGTTAAAACTCGCTGCACTGGCCTGGAGTTTTACAACCTTCTCGCTATGGGTACAAACTTCACCTGTTCCGTGGTTTGTTTGGCAAAGATTGTGTAAAACTTTTTATATTCTTCAACCACCATCTAAAATTTCCCTCAACACTTTTGTGCTGTACCTATTTTATTCCACTAATCTTTCA